TAAATACCTAGGAACAGGAGGGTCAAGTCACACGTATGTGTACGTTTAACTTTATGAGAAACTGCCAAACTGTTTTCCAAACTGCTGAATTGTTTCCCATCTTGCATTTCCACCAGCAGTGTATGAGAATTCTGTAGGTTTTTTTTTCAAAACAAGATGTTCGTGGCATGTTTTTCATACAGGACTTTAAAATTGTAACATAATCTGATATATCAGTCTTTTTCTTTATGGTTGATGTTTTTGCGGATTTATGAAATCTTTCACCACTTGGTTCATTATGTTATGATTCTCCTATTTGTCATGTCTCCTGAGAGGATTATTAGATTTTTTTTCTTCAGAAAGGTGTTTTTTGACATGTCCCCATAGCAATTCATAGGTAATATACACTTAACTTACTATGTCCAATAATACAGCACTTGTCATTACAGAATAATGTGACATGAGATTGAGGGTAAGAGCTCAAAGTACTCAATTAAGAAAATTACATTTCATGTAATTGAGATTCTCTGATGAATTCTTGTTTTCTCACTTCAGTTCAGAATGGAGTTCAACAATGCTTTAGAACACAGATTAGCAAACTTTTTCTGTAAAGGGCTAAATAGTAAATATTTTTAGGCCGTGCAGACCATACGGTCTACTCAACTCTGTTGCTGCAGTGTGAAACCAGTCACCGACGATATATAAACGAATGAGCATGGCCACGTTCCCATAAAACTTCATTTATGGACGCTGAAATTTCAACTTCATATAATTTTATGTGGCACAAAATGTATTCTCCTTTGATTTTTTTCCAATTATTAACAAATATAAAAACCAAGCTTTGCTTGCAGGCCATACAAGAGCAGGCAGAGAGCCAGATTCCGCCTATAAACTATAGTGCGCCAACCCCTGATTTAGAATACAATCCTCCTGACATCCCTGTAAGGAAATTGGGTAACATTATCCTCCCCATTTCACACAATAGAGCATTAGAACCCAAAGAGACTTTCGAGTTCCTCCAGTTTAGTTTCTCTCTCCTTCTCCTCTCCTCTCCTCCATTTTATTGATGAGGAGGTTTCGGTGCAGAGTAGGGGAAACGACTGGCTTCAGGCCACATAGCCAGTTAGTGACAATACCAGGCTGGCGCTCAGATATTTTGTTTAAGTCCTACCTACCTTCCTCTACTCAATTCCAAAAACCAAAATTTTAAACTACATCCGTAGCCACAAAATCCTTCTGCCACATTCTCCTCAGCAGTTAAACCTTTTTTTTTTAACCCTAAAGGAATTTATTCTAATAAATACCTTAAAATCAAGGACTCACTATGCTCAAGTCCTGAAATTTAATTTATATCACTAAAACCTGTACAGTGCAATTAACAGTGACAATTGCATTGTAAAGTCAAGAGCAATATTGATTAGTGAGGTGCCATGATGATATCTGTGGGAAAATTATACAGAGAATTGAAACTGGTTAAACACTAAAATACCACTAAGGCACCCAAGTTCCAAAAAGCCTATGGAAGATTGCCAAATTTTATTCCAGAATTTCGAGGACAAAGGAATGGCAGTTCAGTTATAAGTAGCAGAGGAATTGCCTCTGCAGATTAGACTCAAGTCAGTGGGGTTGGCCAGAATGGGGGCTCCAGGCCAGAGGTCAGCGCTCTCACTGCAGTGAACGTCTGGAACCCCAGCTCCAGGAGAGCAGAGTCCTCATCTCTTGTTCATGGCTGTGTCCCCTCCAGACCGGAGCCTGGGACATACTGGTGCTCAGTAAATGATGGTTGAAGGATCAAAATCAGTCTGCAAGAGGTGACTCCTGGGAACGGACCTCTGGATTTTAGGATACTTATTTCAGCAGCTTTGGGACCATTCTTTGAAAAAATCTTGAAGGATTTTTCCCCAACCAGGAGCCCCATCAGAAGGTGGTCACCTTCATCCCCTGGGTGATTATCTTCTTGTCTGCCCTTAGCCTGTCACTTAGGTTTGGACTTACTATACATTCTGGATGTAATGAATGCATTGAAAGCATGGCCCTCTAAACTGTTAATTAAAAATTCAATGAGGGCAACCAATGTTTGTGAGTGATTCAGAAGTGTTTAAAATACAGACATTTACAAAAAGTTCTAGGAATAAGAAATTCCCAGAATAATTTATTACCTATACATTTAAATTTTCTTTGGAAGTTCTAATTCTCAGCAAATCAAGTCATCCCACTATCTTTTAGGTTATTTCACCTATTTTACAAATAGTGATTCATCAGAAGTTAAATGACTTGTTGCCAAAGTCACATGGAGAATATAAATCTTGGGGCCGGCCCCGTGGCTTAGCGGTTAAGTGCGTGCGCTCCACTACTGGCAGCCCGGTTTCGGATCCTGGGCGCGCACCAACACACCACTTCTCCGGCCTGGCTGAGGCGGCGTCCCACATACAGCAATGAGAAGGATGTGCAACTATGACATACAACTATCTACTGGGGCTTTGGGGAGAAAAAGGGAAAAAAAAGGAGGAGGATTGGCAATAGATGTTAGCTCAGAGCCAGTCTTCCTCAGCAAAAAAAAGAGGAGGATTGGCATGGCTGTTAGCTCAGGGCTGATCTTGCTCACAAAAAAAAAAAAAAAAGAGAGAATATAAATCTAAATAACTCATTAATTCATGCCTCTCTCCTGCTATTTGTTAGATTGAAACGGAGGGAGGTTTGATGAAGATTTCCTCTGGCTTCCTTGGTGATTGACTGTATATTTGTTACTCTCTGCTACCCCCTGTTGATAAGAGAAGGGAAGAGCAGATCTTAAGACCAATATTTCTCAAAGCTAGCTGCTGGCAGCAGTAGGACCAGCAACACCTGGGGAACTGGTGAGAAACCCAAATTATGGGGCCCCACCCCAGAACACTGAATTAGAAACTCTGCAGTGGGGCTCAGCAGTCTGTGTTTTAACAAACCTCCAGGTAATCCTGCTGCCTTGATACTATTTTTCTTCTTTAGGTACTAATGACCTGGCCTCCCAGTCATCATAAAAATGATAAAGCCTCTTTACACTGCTTCTGTCCTCAGGCCTCACACGTGGTATACACCACTATGCCATATACAAAATGCTTTCATGTCCAATCATTCTTTCAGATGGGTTTGCAAGAGCCCTGTGAAGTAAGATAGGAAGGGACTACTTATCCATTTTACAGATGAAGAGACTGAGGCTCAAGAAAGGTGAAATAACTTACCCAGGGTTACTCAGATTTAAGCGGCAGGGTTGGATTTGAATCCAAGTCTTACATCCATGCCCAGGGCTTCTTCACTTGCTCTACAGCTGGGTTTCTGACATTTTGAGCCAGATAACTCTTTGTTGTAGGGGCTGTCCTGTAGATTGTAGGATGTTTAGCAGCATCCCTGGCCTCTACCTACTAGATGCCAGCAGCACCTCACCCTAGTTGTGAAACCAAAAATGTCTCCTAATAATGCCAATGTCCCCTGAGAGGCAAAGTAATCCATGGTTGAGAACCACTTACCTGCAACCAACACATACATACATGGGGAGAAATTTGACAATTCATGTTCTGCAAATTTTGTATTCTTTGAAGATGATTTCAGGACAAATAGCTTATTTTTGGCCTCTAAGCTATCTATGAAGTAAAGGAATTACACTGGATGTTGGTCTCTATAATACCTTCACAACCGCTTAAGAAAAGTAATAATGATTTTGTAATATCATCTGGTATCCATTGTGTACTCAAATTTCCCCCAGTCGTCCTAAGAATATCTTTCATAGCTGTTTTTTTTCATGCAGGATCCAATCTAGATTCCCAAATTGCATTTGGTTGTTATGTCTCTTTAGTCTCTTTTAGTCTAGAACAGGGGTCAGCAAACTATGACCCATGAGCCAAATCTGGCCCACCACCTGCTTTTGTAAATATGCTTTTGCTGGAACACAGCCATGCTCTTTCATTTATGCATATGGTAGCTTTTGTGCTATGATAGCAGAGTTGAGTTTTTGTGACAGATACTATATGGCCCACGAAACCTAAAATATTTATTACCTGACCCTTTACAGAAAAAGTTTGCTGATCCATGACCTAGGACTATCCTCTTGCCTTTATTTTATTTTATTTTTTTATTTTTATTTTTTTGGTGAGGAAGATTAGCCCTGAGCTAACGTCTGCTGCCAATCCTCCTCTTTTTGCTGGGGAAGATTGGCCCTGGGTTAACATCCATGCCCATCTTCCTCTACTTTATATATGGGATGCCTGCCACAGCATGGCTTGATAAGCAGTGAGTAGGTCCGCACCTGGAATCCAAACCTGCGAACCTGGGCCACCAAAGTGGAGTGTGCAAATTTAACCACTATGCCACTGGGCCAGCCCCGCCTTGCCTTTATTTTTAATATAATACTGACTGTTCAAAGAGTTCAGAAGAGTTGCTTATAGAAAATCTCATTTTAGATTGGTCTGAATATATACATTTATATATTAAACTTTTAATTGAAATTTTGCATACTGTATACATATATGTTAAAATACAAAATATTTAAGACGGTATCAGTGTTCTATGGGGCAGTCTTAACTTTTTATGCATCAAAAACTATAAATGAATTTGAAAGGCAAACAACAAATTGTAACAATAATTACAGTTCCAAGGTCTTGTCTCTTTTCGTACTTTATTTTTCAGGAAGGAGAGAAAAAGAATGTCATGTCTGACTTATGATACATAGTTTTGGTTACAAATGGAAGTAAAACTCTCACTGATCAAGTTTCTATATCATTTAAATAGAAAAACCATTAGGAAAACCAGGGGCCTCCTTCTTTGGAAGATCATAATATATAATTTCAAATACCTGTATCAGAGTGTACAGAAATTCAGATATATACACAAGAGTGTCAACACTCTGAGTGCAGGGCCATGAGCCTACCAACATGCCTGATATACAGAAAGTGCTAAATAAATGTCCATGGGATAAATGAATGAATGAATACCATTCCTTTACACAGCCGGGCAAGGCAGGTTGTCACAAAAATATTCATATCTATTTATTAGAGTATTATTTTTTTTAAGTATAACAAGCATGCACATCATACTAGAGGCTTAGCCTGTTATTATTCTGTTGGGAGCTCATGCATGTTCTTTGAAATAGAAATCAGTTAGCTTGGAACATTATCTTAAGGACAGGAATACATTGGGTTTATGCATATAGTTATATGGAAAGCTAGAAAATGTCCATCCTCCCCTTCCAGGTAACCTAGGTCAGACTCTAATGCATAGTACCTTCTGCCCCTACTCTTTGTACACAAGATGTCTATCCTACTAATCACCTAAGACATTATAAGTGAAACATAAATCATAACGAAAGAAAGCACTGCTAACTGGTTTTACTAGTTATATAACATGGCCTTGGCTGCGCACAGTATAATTTCCCTCCACTTCTCTAAAATGTCATTTAACCTAGATAAAAAAAAAAAAAATTAGACCTCCCTAAACCACAATATATTTTACAATAATCTTTAGGGACAAAAGTTAAGAGTCATCCACTCTAGCACAGCTCACATAAATGGCACTGAAGAGTGAGCTATTGGCCGGGAATCAGTCTGAAGATTTAAAGAGTTCCCGGCTGGTTCTTGAGCAGTGGATCTTTTTCCTGATTTCCGGGGAAGAACGCGGACTTTGCGTGGTGGAGGAAAACATTCAGCCTCTTGCCTTTGACCACGATCCCAGTCCTGTTTCCTATTGGTTTGTATGCCTTGTGTTTTCTGAAAACAATGTGTTAGACAGATTAAAAAAAGATCTCCAGCTGGAATATGTTAGTTTTTACAATGTCGTACGTGCCAAGTACAAAAGGGTTAATTCCATTTAACCTAATCTATGGCTTTCAAGACACTGTTGTTTTATGAAAATATATCTGTTTTCTCTTCTTCATGCAAGAAACGTGCCTGCTGACTATAATTTGAGATTATACATTAAACATTAAGATGACACAATTTTGTAAAGTTTTACTGACATCTGGTAGCATTTTCAGGATTAAAAAAAGACCACAGCAAAATTAACAGGCTAGTTTGGTATTCATCATTCAGTGGAAGATTTTCCTCCCACACTCAAAATGTTTAAAAGCAAAAAAGGGAAAATGGCCCTTTTGTGCAGAAATACGCTATTTATTTTTGACAATAGACTATCGTGATTTAAGGTGTTAGAACCAGCAACTTACTTGTACGCCAAAAGGGCGATCACAGTGACAAATAAGGTCAAGCAGCCAACGGAGACCAGGACACCATTTGCTATTCTTAAAGAGGAGGCTGGGTCTTAAAAAAGAAGCAAGACCATGTTAGTGACATCTTCCACCTAGAGGATATGCTGCTTGTAATGCAATTAAATAAATGAGGAAGGGAGCCTTCAGAAGATATATGGCTCCCTCTGGGCTTTCAGTAATCTTTTCCATTAAATAATACATAGTCTTTGGGTCAGCTTATCCTCCATTTAGAGAATGAGTTAGCATGTCTGGAACACTGTGTTAAGGGCTCAGGAGTGAGATGTCACGTCCTGGAGACACCTGTTCGGGTCTCAGCTGACCCAGCAGTGCCCCCTGGTGAAGGGCTCCATGATCCTCCTGCCCACTCCTTTGGCCTCATTGCTCACTCCCTGCCTTCCAGCTGCACTAAAAATTCTGGGAGGTGCCCATCCTTCACATGCTCTTTCAAGTCTCATGCCCCCTGCTGGGAATGTCCCACCCGCAGCTCATCTCAAGTGTCCACCCGTTCGGGATGCCTTCTGGACTCTCTTGAGGGCACCGGGTTACATTGTCCTTTGTCACTACTCTACTCGCCTCTCTTCCTCTATCATGTTGTGTCGCAATTACTTCTTTACACATATTTCTTTCCTACTGGATTGTAAGAACCATGAAGTAGGGATTATGTCTTCTCTGTACTCCCAGAACCCAGCAAACTAATTAGTCTTATCTCTATTGCCAAAGTATAACTGGAGTTGATCTGTGTTTCCTTTGTCTCCTCTGCCACCACCGATCACAGTCCCAGCCACCAGCCTCTCCTCTGAGAGGACCTCTTAATTGTCTACCTGGTTCCACTTTTATGCTCCAATGATCCTTACTTCACTCTGCAGTCGGAACAATCTTCTTAAAAGCATCAAACAGATCATGCTTCAAATCTGCCAATGAGCTCCCCTTATGCACAGAATAAAACCCTAACCCTACGGTGGCCTACAAAGAACTAAATGGGCTGCTTGTTCTTGAAATTCAGGTCTCAGTTCAGAGGAGGCCCTTCAACAAGTGAGTGCTGCTGGGTCAGCAGGACTTTCCCTGACCTGCCAATCTAGAGAGCCAACTTCTGTCCCCTCTCTCTCATGCTTGTCACTCTCCATGCCCTGGCCTTGTTTAATTTGCTTCACCGTATCATCTTATTTATTTATTGTCTGTTTCTGCTCACAAAAGCAGGGACCTTCTTCATCTTGTTCCTCACTTGATCTAGAACTGTATATCTCATGCCTAGAGCTGTGCTGTGCACGGAGTGGATGCTCAATGAATATTTGTTGAAAGAATTGCAGATGCTGGGCCACGCCAGGGGCATAGTGGTTAAGTTCATGTGCTCCACTTCGGGGGCCTGGGGTTTGCAGGTTCACATCCCAGGCATGGACCTACACACGGTTCATCAAGCCATGCTGTGGTGGCATCCCATAAACAAAAAAATAGAGGAAGATTGGCACAGATGTTAGCTCAGGGACAATCTTCCTCACACACACACACACACACACAAAAACCTAAAAAAACCTTGTATTTTGAAGAAAAAAAAAGAATTGCAGATGCTTCATGAATGTTCATTGACTCAATGAATAAAAGTTATTTCAGCTAAAAGTCTATGGGTTTGCCTTTGAACAATGATCTATTTCTGAAATTCTGACTTTGAAACCCAAGTCAACAAGTTACAGTCCCCACTGGATTAAAAGCTGTCTTTCTGAGCTTCCTTTATTTGGATTTTGGAAATGGCTCAGGTCACACCTAAAGTTATCACTGACTACAAGAAGAATAAAGGAGTGCAAATATCTAAACATCCAATGCAGACAAGAGAACAGAGGTTTGCTAGCCCCGAGAAAGCTTTATAGAATAGGTTATGCCCCTAAATGCAATTCTAAGAAAGCTGTGGCAATGCAAGAGGAATAATCACAGCAGCTCCCGGAGGTGACAGCCTTGGAGATCCACGCTCACTTGGTTACCAGACTCCAACCTGCCTCATTCCGCCCCACCCTCCAGCTCTCCACCTCAGGCCCCAGGGCACTCCGTCCCCCAGGAAGCAGTGTACTTTTGCATTGTCGTTCTTTTGTTTTAAAATCTGTTCCTTGGATTTTACCAACAATAAGCCCTCATACAAATAATCATATGCATGATTACTTAAGCTTTGCTTTCAATGAGGTCAAAGCTGCTTTTTATATGGTTAATGAGTAAATATATGTTTCAGTACATTTTACCTTCTGAGATAGGCTCCAAGTCCAAAGGAGTTATTTATGAGTTAGTCATTAGATTGTACCTGACAAGACTCAAATTAAGGAGCAAAATAAGGGCTGTCATGTATACACAATTTAACCTCTCCCTTCCATTCTACCATGTAGCACTTCTTCTAAGAGATAAAGCAGTGTCTTACAACAGAGTAGGTTGTAAGTGAAATTCAGTTAGGGTCACCAGGTAGAGTCCTAATTTGGGGGGTGGGGAAATTGGAAGCCACCAGTAAATGAAAATTTCTCAGTGAAATTCCTTAGTCCACTTTGTTAACATTTTACCTCTCCAAGCATTTGGGGGGCAAAGAGTAGTTTTCCTGGTGAACATCTGAGGTTTGTTACCATCTCAGTGTAATGCTTGGTAGAATGTGGGAAGGGAAAGAGAGGACACGTGGCAAGTTAGAAGGTAGCCAGGAGTCCACTTTGTTTCTCATTTCTCTTCTTGGCTTCGTGTCTTTGCCCAGGTGGATTCTAATGACAACACGATACCAGCCTCCCCTTTGTTATGGTTTAATTGGAGAACATTGTTATTTTTTGATGTTGGGCTTTACGGTTTCCCTTGAAATACAAATCTATTTGAGCAGGCAGTGATCACATCCCATTATTACTGGTTCATGTTCACAGCTGACTTTGTTCATCAAAAGGCTTTTCTTTGGCCATTATTTCATTGGATGTCTCTCTCTCATCCCTTCCCTAAGTAGATTTGCTGTTGGATTTTAAGGCTAGTTCTCAAATCCACATTAACAACAGTTCAATGAATTTTGCACTGAAATAAAATTAAACATTGATAGTGAAGACTTAAATAGCTTTAGTATTGAATACACATTTTTATCTGCAAAATGAAATGTTTGTACGACCATAAAACAAGACTTACCTCTGCCAGGGACAGAGACGTGGGTGCTCGTGAGGGCCAGACTCGCCTCGTCACCCAGAGTGAGGTTCATACAGTATGTCCCAGACTCCCTGAAGGCTCTTCTCACGGTCAGCAAGCACAGCTCGCCCATGTTCACATCCACAGGGTCACAGATTATGCTCTGGGTGATCTGGCAGCTGGGGTCGGAGATTATGGTACAGACCTCTGTGGGAATGCTGAGGGCACAAAGGGTGCCGAGAGGGAGAGAAGAATGTAATGTCAGTTTAAAAGGAAAAACGAGGGCCGGTCCCATGGCCTAGTGGTTAAGTTCAGCACTCTCCGCTTCGGTGGCCTGGGTTTGGTTCCCAGGTGTGGACCTGCACAACTCATTGGTGGCCATGCTGTGGTGGTGACCCACATACAAAATAGAGGAAGACTGGCACAGATGTTAGCTCAGGGCGAATCTTCCTCAAGCAAAAAGAGGAAGATTGGCAACAGATATTAGCTCAGGGCGAATCTTCCTCAGCGGTAAAAAAAAAAAAAAAATGGGGAAATCTTTATATTTCTATAAAATTGAATTCCACCTTACTCTTACTCAAACCATATGATGTCGAATTGTCACGTATAATTTACTCTTAAACAAGCCTGGGTGTGAGCTACTGTTTCCTCCATATCCTCAGGAAGGTGAGGCCCTGGGAGTGGAGGAGGAAGAAATTATGTCTCCTAAGTCAAGGGGCTGTTGGAAACTGTGAAGCCCAAGTCCTTCCCTCTACATTTTGGCTTCTTAAAATGCCCAAAGATGCAGACAGCTTAGGTGTTAGGCAAAGACATTATTAAACGCCAGAGCTGGCCCTGCCTGGGTTCCCGTAGAGATGTGATAACAACCACAGCTGTTTCTGCAGTATTTACTGTGTGCAAGGCACTGAGTTTTAGATATATGACATGGTCTTGCCTACTCCCCTCAGTGACTTTATGGGGAAAGTAATATTATCCCAGTGAAGGAGCTCAGGGAGGGGAAATAACTGGTCCAGAGTCACACCAGCCATTAGAATTGGAGCTGGGACTTGAACAAAAGATGTTTGACAACTGTCCTTGTAACCACAAGGCTACCTGGCCATGAACTACTGTCTTGGCCACGGTTTCACTTCTGAGGAGACTTCCTGGATGGAGAGACCAGGTTCTGAGGCTGGGTCTGGTGAGGGCATGGGGTGAGGTAGGGACAGGCTCCTTCTCACCCAGCCCTGGCTTCCTGCAGCAGCCTCACTCCTTCAGCCAGGTTTTTCTCTATTTTCTGTCATCCTCTTTCCACTCCTCTCTCCAAGCTGGAGAGCTCATTAGCTACCCCTTTCATCAAATAAGGCCACACTTTATACTGTTCCAGTCTCTCGATTAATTTATACATTTACCTTATGCATACATTTAAATTACAGATTTACATATTATCTGCAAATTAATATATTTACTTAGTTAATTGATATAGTATTTACATATTAATTAATTTATATTTAGTCTATTATATATAGCTATAACCAAACCATAGAAAGTCAAATTATATAATGCATTAGAAAGAGCTTTGTAAATTATAAGGAGAGACAGGATTATCAGGCGTTGCTATTAATTCACGCTAGGACATGGCCATTCCACACTGGCTTCCTGCCACTCCGGAGGAGCCTCAGGGAGCTTAAGAGTGGGGCTCTGAGCCAGACCACGGCGTGTGAAACGCGCTCTGCCGGGACCCGCCGTCTCTGGGGGCAAGTTCTCTAAATACCGCATGCCTCGTGGCCCCATCTGTAAAATGAGGAGACTTGTAGGACTGTGTAAGGATTCAATATTGTTGAGACCATAGTAAGTGTCCAATCAATATTCAATGAAGTTATTTAACTTCATCAACAGTTAAAGGTAATGAGCATTGCTCAACTCTAGCAAAACCAGTGTACGCTTGACAGCAACTCCAAGGGTCCTTCCTCATCCTGGCTTATTGATGAACTAGAAATTTAAATCAACTTAGAGAGGAAGACTGGCATGTCTTTATTCAGGCCTGGGGTCCTCACTTGACCCGTCCCTCTGACTGAGAGATGTACTCACATCCCTTCGCAGGTCACGACAAAATCCATCAGGGAGTTGTCAGGCTGCGGTGGGGACATTGGAACATCTGTCATCTTGATGATGTTAACCTCTAGAATTCCATCTAACAAAACAACCCCCGTAGAAAGACACATCAAAACACAACAGAAACCAAAGCAAACCAAACCACTCCTTAACAAATCAGAAGGCCAAACAAAATGGAGACAGCCTTCTTGCCACACCAGAAACACACCAGATCCAGGAATTTATCCCATAGCTTTGGATACATGTCCATGCAGCATTTTCAAACTCAAACTGAACTGTTCTTCAGTCCAACCTAGATCTGTATCACTGGACCCTGTGTATGTGCTAGAAGGCAGCACTCCATCTGGGTAGGTATTTCGGGAAAAGGTGACCTTGAGGGGTGCAGCCCCCAGGCTTAGGCATTGGCCAGCTTCTCTCTAGCAGAGATGGCTCAGCCCCGGGGCACACAGCTTGGGTTTTAGCCCCCTCCCCAGAACCAGGGTGCACGGCTTCGGCTTCGGCCCCCACCCGTCTTCTCTGGTGGGCACCTGTGGATGGTGCCCCAAACCCACCACGTGTGGTGGCCCTGTTCATTTCCCTTTCTTACACATAAGAAATGTGGCTTTGTGAAATCTGCTAGGGGAAGAAAGTGGAAGCTGTGGGAGCTTGTTACTGGTTTCCTTAAAGGCACATTCATTCAGATTCCTGGGACGCACAGAGTGGGGGTTCCAGGCCCTGGGCAGGCTCATTAACATGTGGGCCTCACGGAGGGCTCATTTCCACCAGGGTGTCTAAGGAAGGCTGGGATAGGCACGTGGGAATCTAGAAATTAGGAGAGTCTTTGGTTGCACACGTGTGGTATCATCTCAGAGAAAAAGTGGGTGTCCCTGCTCCCCACCCCCACCCCTCCAGACTCAGTGAAGTGAGTGGGTGGCCCCAGGTGGATTCTAACATCCTTCCCCCATTGGTCTTACCTACAATTGTGATGGTAGCTGTAAAGTAACCGTATCTGTTAATCTGGCAGTTTTCATCAGGAACATCACTCAGCTCCAGGGGGTTGTCACCACCAGGTGCTGGAGAGTTTGAGTAATAAGATTTTAGATTAGTTGCTAAGAATGTAAAAGATATACATGATATCACCAAAAATCTAAACATCTCTCTGTCTGGTCTTTAGAAAAACATCAAGCATTCTATATATTAAATTGCTGCAGAAATGTGAACTAAATGTGTAATGATTCATATAGCTGTGAAAGCTATAAGGCATTATCATTGTTAAATTATGTAAGTAAACACAATCCCATATCTTGTTTAAACACAGGAAGCAAATGAAAGGTAGAAGCCATATTAAAATGTGTGATATAACAATCATAATGAAATAAAGCAAGCCATAATAGATAAAATCATATCTCAATTTTGGAGGCAGGTATTCTGGGCCTAAATTCCAGGTCCCTTGTTTTTAGCTGTTTGAGACCATAGGCATATCATTTAACCTCTCTTTGCCTCAATTTACTCCTCTGTAAAATGGGAATAATACCTACTGACCTACTAAAGTTGAACTATTAAACTTAAATAAGATAAGGTATATAACACCTGCTTCATGCCTGCCACATAGAAAGTATTTAATAAATATCAATTTCTTTGTCCCAGTATGTACTTCAATATATCTATTTAGATGTAGATGCACTATAACATATAAGAATGTTAAGGTTGGTGTATAATAGATTAAGAAGCAAGCAACATGGAAAAAGGGAATTCTTTCCCTGTTTGGATGTCTCATAGCTGCAGAGCTTACATTCTAAAGTCTTGCTGTGACTGTGATGAGCGGAGGTGTGGGGAAGAAAAAGAATGAGTACAAGACACTTTTCAAAAATAACCCTGTATGATTAGAGCAAGGAATTTAATGCTCAATTAGTTACAATTTAAAAAGCTCTAATTGAGGTGTTGGGGTTCCTTCGACAAGATAGAAAGACTGGAAGGAAAATATGATACTGAAAATACAATGCTATCTTCTCTTAAATTTCAAAAGGCAGGAAAATGGACCCAATTTACAGGGAGGGGCATCAAAGCTCCGCAGAGCTGCATCTCTAACATAGTAATATGTAAGGACGAAGCCGGTTGGGAGATTTCTCCAGGGCTCCTCAGAGGCTTTGCTGGGTGAAAGAACGTGCCCTGTGACTCTCCTTTGCTCAGAGGCGTCTTCTCAGAGCGTCTCTGGAAACGAGTGCTCCATGGCACACACTTTGGGAAATGCTGCTGGGGTAAAGCCCAGAAAGGCTCTGACGCCACGTCAGATTCAAATGCAGTGGTTTATCATCAGGACTGGCTGTGGTAAGCCCTTGGGAATGTCCCCTGAGTTTCACCGTGGTCCTTGGAAAGTTACAGAATAATCGTTCTTTCTGTCCTGAGATTTAACTGATATGTTCTGTAGCACAGATTTGTTTTGCAGGGTATTAAAGATGGCTGGCTTTTCCCTAGAAAACTAGAACACTCTTTCTTTTGAAATTCTTGACAGGTAGAATTTAGCTGTCAAGTTAGAGCATGGAATCATGACCCTGCCATTTTTTAAAATAAAATTTCTTTTAAAAAATGACCAAGTAATAAAAGTCAATGATTTTACTTTCGGTAGAATGCTTATAAAAATGCATATGGAGTTTTGCAGACGTATCTATAAAGTCCAGTCTATAGCTATATATCTATATCTATAAAGTCAAGGTATGACTAAAAGGCTCATGGAGAAAAACTGACACCTTAAAATATGGATGGGAAAGAAAGTAAATCTCATACTGAATTCATTCTTTATGTCCCTGTTACCCAGAGAATGGTGTGAGAGCCCTTGATTCTTTGGGAAAGCACAAAATTTCCACACAATATAATATATATTACACTAATCAGCATCAGTCTTACAAAGGTTGTTCTTTTCAGATTTGTTCACAAAATTCTGAAAAATGAACAGCGGCACTGTGAATTCTGTGGCTTAAAACTAGTGCACAGCTGCCAGCCCTATAATGGAATCATCTTCCTGAGTCACCTCTTCAACTCTGCTTCTGTCTCACTCCTGTGGTTGCGTTTGGTTTCTATTCAACGGCTGTGCTTTATTATGAAACCACTTACCAAAATAGAGAGAACATAATTTTTGGTCAAATAATAATCCAATGCTCAATAATCCAAGCCTGTTAATGTGGTCTGCATAGCTGAAAATGCTCTCTCTTCTATAGGACAAATACCCCACACCACCCGCCTTTATCACATCATGGGCTGACTCCTCTCCTCATCATGGGTCCTATTACTTATTCCCACCCCTCCCTTCTCCAGCTCTCACAGCCGCTTTAAGGCATTTTGGGGTTGATTATGATTGATCTAACACCTTTAGATAAAGCCAGGCAGCTTCCCCTCACTGTAAAACCTAACTACTCTCAAAGTTACTACTTGATATCTTACAGTCTCACCTATGGAAAATAATAATAGAAACTTAAAATATGCTGTCATTGACTTAAAATATATTTTTAACACATGCTATGATATAAATAGTTTCTAAGAAAAACAAGCTAGGGGCCGGCCCGGTGGCGTAGCAGTTAAGTGCCCGAGCTCCACTGTGGTGGCCCAGGGTTCGGATCCCAGGTGCGCACTGACGCACTGCTTGGCAAGCCATGCTGTGGCGGCGTCCCATATAAAGTAGAGCAAGATGGGCACAGATGTTAGCCCAGGGCCAGTCTTCCTCAGCAAAAAGAGGAGGATCAGCATTGGATGTTAGCTCAGGGCTAATCTTCCTCACCAAAAAAAAAAAAAGAAAAGAAAAGAAAAACAAGCTAGCTTAATCAAAACGCAATTCAAAACAGACTGACATTAAATAATCTAACATTAAGCCCTTTACTATTCAGGAATTTCTAGACAGTTCTATATAGTATAGGCATCTGTAATTTATTTTGCATTTTACACCTGGTCCCCTTATTTATAAAGAAGATAAAGAAATTAATTCTCCTACAGAAATACAGAATGAAGATATATGTTTAGAATTGTTCAGTGCAATTTTATTTGTAATTGGAATTAGGATTAACCTAATCATCCATCAATAAGAGAATGGTTAAATAAATTATAGTTTATACATACTATGAAACACTACATAGCCACTGAGTAAAGTGAGTTAGATTCATGTGTACTGACAATGGAAATGTGTCTATAATGTTTGTTAAGCGAAAAAAAGTAAATTGTATAATAATATATATAGCAGGAGCCCATTTACATAAAAATAAATACAAAACATGTATATTTATAGAATATGCTTGTAGATGCATAGAAAAAGATCTGGAAAGAAACACTCCCAACTATTAATTGGGTTTAACTCTTAGGAGGAGAGTGTGAATAGGGACTTTCACTTTTATTCTCGACTTCTATATTGTATGAAGTTTTACTAAGGAACATAATTTCGTAATTTAAAACATTTCAGAAAAGAATGAATCAAAATCAGTAATAACTTATAAGGTTTTGATTTAGATATACTTAACAAGATCTAATTTTATTAATAACACACTATTATAACAGTTTATTATTTATAACTAATAGGTTTTGTTAAAAACAATAATTGCAGCAAATCTGGACATCATGATGGAGTGTTCCCTCTGGGCTTGGTGATGGCGCCCTCTTGTGACTATGGAGAGGATGCCAGTCTATTGCCATCCCCTGGATTCTGGGATGCTAAGATGTACTCATGGCTGAGTTGAGTAGGGTGGGGAATCAGATGGAAGCTACTGCCTTCCAAAGTAGACCCTTAAGAACTTCTTGAATGTCCTCATGTACTATTAGTAGAGGGTGGAATTTAACTAATTATGCCTTATATCCAGAACAATTTTAATGTCTGGAGTCTTTCCAGCTTGCTAGCTGAAACCTACTCTCAAGTTGCATTCCTTCTTGGGCCATTTGGAAAATGCTTTCAAGCATAGCTGTGTTTCATGGGATAGTAGGTGGATGTGGGCAGGGTAGAGAGGAGAATGGAAGTGGGGAGAAATGTGGAAGGGGGATGAAGAAAAGTGGAAATGGCCTGAATGTTTATAAGGAGACAATGTGTCTTCTCATAGCCGGGAAAAATGGGAGACGAACAGCAATGTGATAGGCTAGATGGGGGAAGCATCTGTACACATAACAAGGGCCAGTACAAATTAGGAAGGTCAAAGAGCTGTATAGCAGTCCCCCTTATCGGCAGGGGATACGTTCCAAGACCCCCAGTGGATGCCTGAAACCATGGATAGTACCGAACCCTATATATACTATGTTTTTTCCTATGTGTACGTACCTATGATAAAATTTAATTTATAAATTAGGTACAGTAAGAGATTAACAACAATAACTGATAATAAAGCAGAACAATTATAACAATATACTGTAATAAAAGTTACTGTTGATCTTAGCAACCTTAGCATACAATTTTTTTCTTTCCTCATTAAGTTAAGAACTTGCACCTTTTCACTTAAAGGAAGCACTTTACGGCTTCTCTTTGGCATATCTGAATTGCCAGCATCACTACACTTGGGCTTTCGGGCCATTATTAAGTAAAATAAGAGTTACTTGAACACAAGCACTTTGATACCACAACAGTTGATCTGATAACCAAGACAGCTACTAAGTGACTAAGGGGCAGTGTGTAGGGGGGGTAGGTAGCATATAAAGTGTGGATACGCTAGACAAAGGGATGATTCATGTGCTGGGTGAGACTAAGCGGGAGGACGCAAGATTTCATCAGGCTACTCAGAACGGCTTGCAACTTAAAACTTATAAATTGTTTATTTCTGGAGTTTCCCATTTAATATTTCCAGACCACAGTTGACCATGGGTAACTGAAACCTTGGAAAGCAAAACTGTGGATAAGGGGGGACTACTGTATATGAGTCACCAAATTCTACTTGCAAAGTGACTTTAAACATACTCTCCTTTCTTCTATATTCTAATAGCTTAAAATGGTGATAAAATGGCTAAAAAAAATCAACAGATACAGAATGCAATCATTGCAGAGTCTCCACACAATCCTTTAAACTAGGAATCTAATAATGTAACTTATATGAATATTTTTTTAGCTGTTAAGGAACTGCCCTCAAAGATCACCTGGAAAACACTTACGTAAAGAAGGGGTGGGTTTTGGAGGTCGGGGTGAAGGTGAAGGACAAGGTCCAGGCACTGCAGCTTGCACAGTGAGGTTAAGGTTGAAGGTTCCATTGCGCACATACGTGTGATTCAAAGTGGAATTGAGGGAAACAAACAGACCGGTATTATCCCCGAAGATCCATTTGTAGTTAATGGCAGACTTGTTGAGGAAGTGGCTGGGATCATGAATCAAGACGTTGAATATAATGGGGAGGTTCCTGAGGAAGGTTTCATCAGACAAATTTCGATTGTTCTTCTGGGACATAGTCACAAATATGGGAATCTGATCTAAAAGATATATCCAAACAAAGAAAGAACATATGATTGCTTGATTTTAAGTGGATGACTTCGATAATGCTTTTAGGTTAAAAAATTAAAGTTAGGGATAATTCAGCCTCATTTTCCTTTTTCCTATGCAAATTTTCAAGAGGTTTCCCAATTTATTCTGGAAAACATACATGGACTACAACATAATTAAATATATAAGCTTGGGAAGGAGCCCAAATGAATCGTAACCTAACCCAGAACACTTGGCTCTAACTCCTTCTTAATCCACTGACATCCCCAGAACTACGTGCCTCACCCTCAGTTAGTTTCGAGGTCACACCACTCACCAGTTACCACGTACACATCTTTCACTTTTGCGATGGGAACATACGCCCGTCGGTGTCTTCTATAGACAGTTACTTCCATGAGTTGAGGGCCAAGCGTCACATTGGCTGTGTTTATAGAAACTCTCACTGAACACCGTCCCAACCTCTGGAAATACTGACCTTTGAGAAGATGGAAATTTTTAGTTATTAGCTACGTTACACAATCATTGTAAGAAGTTATTGTTTCTTAAAACTAGTGACTGCCATTTAGAGGTTGTTCTGGGAAGGTGAAAAACGGGATGGGAATGTGGTCCTCGCTGCTTCAGAAAGGAAGATGGTGCTCACTTGTATGTAAAACCTTATAAAACCACCCCACAGTTATATAAATGTAATTGTATATAGTTGGTTAAAATGAAAGGAGCTGTTTAGTGGGTTAATACAGTTAGTCCTTAGTTTACAAATATATACTTTTTATAAGTGCGTGCTCTGGCACTTGAAATACATGTGTCTCCCACAGAAAATACATTTAATGTAATGGTGAGGTGTCCAAGGAGTTAAAACAATTTATCCAAAAATCTACCTCATTTTTGTAATGATATTACTATTTCAGCTATATTATTAAGCAGCTTTTTTTTTTCTTTTTGGGAGACTAGAATCCTCCACCTTCTAATAGTATTTGTATGTAAAGATGAAGTAAGTGAATGAAAAGAAATAGGGTATGGTGGCTATGAAAAGGAATGGAGTGGTTCTGTAAACACATTTATAGAACACCCTTGGGTCATTCTTTTTCTTTCTCCAACCCTAACCTAAATCTAACTGCCACTGGCTGGCTAGTGAACGTAATTCCTCTCCTTCAGGGCTCAAGGATTTTTCTAATCCTATTGAGGCACCTGGCACAGATGTGTCATTGGAACAACAGGTATTGTAAAGTGGATGCTTGAGTGATAAGGATGTTTAAAGATCATGTTTATCACACGGTCAAAGGTGTCAGAAAAATACACTAGTCTTCTAAGGGATACGTAATTCAGAATCCCCCTTTGCCTTGAAATGCAGAGGCAGCTCTGCTGGAGATTGTAAGGGGAAGAGGTGTCTCTTGGGGGTTAGTTATATGTGAGGGAAATGTGAGTTCTGGCACCGAGAGACAGATCACAGAGGCAATGCTTAGCTGAGGGCGAGTATGAAGTAACTGAGACCTCAGCAGAAGATGGAAATTCAAAATATTCTTATTGAAAAAACAACAATTTCTGGGCTGAAATCTGATTCTAAATAAAGACATCTTAACTAGTTAAGTTAATGAATGTTAACTAGGCTAAAGAGTGTCTGGAGTGTTAGTGAGCATAAGTGACCCCATGGAAACTGTCAGGTCAAAGAAATCACGACATTTGGTGAACTGACTGACAGGGCCATGAGGGCATCAGAAAAGTCAGCTTTAAATCAACTGATTTAAATAGACAGGCATAATATTTGATAAATATTTTGTACTTTGTTGAACCAGAATGTATTATTAATATGTTGTCTTGATTTGTAAATAAGTTAGTTGAAGAAAGAGAAGCTTTCTCCAATTTATGAAGAAAGACAAAATATTTAGAAATTTGGAGGCTGCATGATTGGTAGCAGTTTTTAAATACTCAGAGCCAGGTGGCACCTGATGACATTTTTAATGAAGAACTTAGCAGCTTTGCTAATAAAAACCTAAATTTGCTCCCCCCAAAAGTAATCATTTCACAAATAATACAGCCAAGTGGATACCATTTGTGGTTAAAAACAAAAAAGAGGATAGGCTATGTTGGAGAAAAACCATGGTTAAATTATGTTATTTCTATACAATGGAATATTATACAGTCATTAAAATAATGTAAGTAAAGAATTTTAATGATATAGTCAAATGCTCATGATATTAAGCAAAAATGTGTATATATTATGATCTTGATAAAAAAATACTAGTAAAGAAAACACCACATTAACAGTGATAATCTCTGGTGTTAATTATGGATGACAATTTTTATTTATACTTTTCTGCATTTTCCAAATTTCCTACAAAGAGCAGAAGTTTAATTCTTAAAAATCTTTTTGAAAACACAAAAAATTAAATAAATAAACAAATGCCCATCCATGTACCATTCAAATAAATATTAATATTTTTTCATATTACTATTTTATACAGAAAAACATTGAGTAGCTTTGTTTTAAAAAAGAAAGCTGAATCTGTTTTTTTTTCTCCTTTTAATTCTTTGGTGCCCTGGAGATTTGGTGAGGCTAATCGAGACTTTATTTTTATCCCTCATCCTCTACCCCAGCTAAGGAAAGTTAATAGAGTAACTGTTTTTAAACTCTCAGTCTGTTATAATTCTTGATTATAGAATAAGAGAAAAAAGTTAAAATTATAAGAGAAACAGAAGACGCTAAGGGGTTTGTAAAAGTCCAACCAAGTGTGTGAAACACATAGACGAAATTCCGTTTCTTCCATCCAGGGGGGTGAGGGAAAGGCTTTCCATCAGGGAACACGTTGTGATGATCTTGGCTGGTGTCATTTTCCCGGTCATTGTCCTCTGACCATGCTGCCCAGTTGTAAACAAACGGGTCAGGAGATGGGCCAGTATCTAAACAGAGAGAGAAACAAGCCATGCTTGTCATCTGGGCTCAGAATGCCCAGTGCTCATCAATGAGTTAAACACTTGTTTGTATTTTTCATAACCAGTTTAAACATAGTTGCACAACTAAAAACCTAATATTCAGAATTCATCCAATGGCACATTTATGACCTGTGTATTTTTAAGCATATATGTTATATTTCAATAAAAGTTTTACATAAATCAATTATTCAGGAAAAGTTCAATCTAGAGATATCACTTAATGTAGTTATCTTTATTTCGGGTCTCCAAATCACAACCATATTCAAAGGAAACTGAAGGATGCTTCATCTTTTTATTTTGATACACTTTCTCTGACTGTACCTTTTTTTCCTGACTTATCTGACATTATGATTCTCCACTCCTAAAGACTTTAACACACATCTCCTAAGAATAAGGGCAGTCCCCTACATAACCACAACACCATTACCACCCCTACCACAGTCTAATCAAGGTTCACATACTACATTGGCTATTTTGTCTCTTCAAATGACAAAGGAAGGAAGGAAGGAAGGAAGGCGGGGGAGGAAGAAAGATTCAAATACAGCAAAATGTTAAAATTATTGAATCTAGGTAAAGGCTATTTGGGTGCTCAGTGTACCCTGCTTTCTACTTTTCTGTATGTGTGAAAATTTTCATTTTAAACAAATCACGGTCAATATTGTTCATCTAGAACAGTCCCCTCACCTTCTTGGTTTTTTTATGTTACTGACACTTTTGAAGAATCTTTTTATTTATCAATCTGTTACAGTCATTATTTTTTATTCTTAAATTGTCCCAAATATGGCCAGTGGAGCCCCTTCAAGCTGGCTTCTGTGTCCTTGTGACATGCCCCCATCAGTCTTTGAGCACTTCCCTACTTTCTGGTACAAGAAGATGTTGCAGGCTCACATGGTCCTCTCCCCGCCCTAGACTCGGAATTAGTGATTTCTCCAAAGATCCCTAGTTCCTTTTAATGGTGATAGATATTTTATAAAAATTTTTATAAGTCACAAGGACTCTTTCATATAAAAACGCTCAGAGGGCTAGATTGTTATTTGAAACACTCATAAGAATCAGTTTTTTTAGAAAAGAAGAAAGAGAAAAAATGCTACAGAATATTAAACACAACCCTTTTAAAATATCAGACCCTTTCTATACAGAATCTAATGTTTTCTTCATAGGAAGATGATAAATTAATAAAGAATGAAAACATCAACTGTTTAATAGAAGTTCTAAATAATAAAATCAGATCATAAGTGCATTTAATAGCCTTGTCATTGATTGGTGAATCTCAGTAATTATCTCAGAGCTTTTGAGAATGTATAGTTCTAACAAGACAATTTCCCTTGATGTGTTTGTGTTCATTTGTTCTCTTAACATGTACAAAGAGCCTATCTGCTTTAACTAAGAGCAAAGGAAACCAAAATATGCACATTTTAGCATTTGTGCTGGCCATACAGCATTTGCTTAAGAAATACTTGTGAGCAGAAATTAATCTGATCAGTAAACCTCTGCCAAATTGGCTATTTTTTAAGTAGCCAAAAGAATTCCAGGTAATAAAACAAAAATCTGAGAATCAACAAGATATTTCTGTCCAATCAACTGAGTGTGATAATGTAGCTTTTGAAGAGGGTTCCAAGCAGCAGAGAGCCACCAGTTTGCTGACGTGGGTTTGGCTAATGTTGATGTTGATGAAGGGACTAAGTGGGACCACACACTCACCCTCCCTGTCATCCAACTTGAGGAGGGGGGTGGCAAGGGACAACAGCAGCATTTACACAAGTACCTGTGAGCATTAAGGTTTATGAGAACTACTGTGAGGAGTAGTTAGGAGAACTAGTGTGTTCCTATCATGTGAGTAACATTCCTTACCATTTCGGCAGTTCTTCTCATAGACTATGTTGCCATTGGCATCTTCCTTTTGGCATCTGGGGAATACCAGGTTCACCACAAACGTTATAGTTGAGCCCACCAGTGCTGGTGAATCACTGGTCAGAACCGCCTGGACATGGCCTCCTAGGGCATAAAAAAGTAGAACTCAATGATCAAGCACTTTTTGTTCCTTTCACTGATAAAGTTAAATCTACCAACAAGGAACAGAGGATCCTTATGCCTCTTTATGATACGTTAGTTTATTTTCTGAATTCCTAACTTTAGCTTTCAGAGTACAACAACATTCTAGAAGATGAATAAAAAAAGAAATCAGACCAGTTAAGGAATTCTCTAAGCATAGAAAGAACACTTAAAATAATTAAAGGATTTGCTCAATTGGATTGAAGAGACAAGTATTAAAGGTTTGTATTTCTTAATCTCAAAACTAATGATGGAAAGACTCTTTCTTTCATGTGAATGGAAAGATATGCGCTTTCTGACCAACCACACTTTTTTTTTTTGATTGTGAAATTTTTGTTGAACATTATTGTTTATCAGTCACCATATAAGCGCATCCCTCCACCCCTTGTGCCCAGCCCCACCCCCCTAGCCCCTGGTAACCACCAACAGTTCTATCTGTCTGTGTGTTGGTATATCTTCCACATATGAGTGAAATCATGCCCTGTTTGTCTTTCTCTTTCTGGCTTATTTCACTTAACATAATACCCTCCAGGTCCATCCATGTTGTTGCAAATAGGCACCCACACTTTTGAAACAGTCAAAAACTGCTCTGGAGTCACAGATCAGAAGATGACCATTCCCACATTAGTAAATACGTTTGATGCTAAATCTCCTTGTTCTCCAAAATCTAATAGCTACTACCTTGTTAATTTCTAAAGTGATTAAGCATTTGTGTGTGCGTGTGTGACTTAGAAAGCGATAATGCTGAGATAAAGGAATGACTGCCAAATCTAGGTGGCTCCCATTTGGTAACTAGAGTACTGTCATTCATGGATGCAATATAAGCCATGGGATCTCAAAGTCTACAATCTATGAGATAATTTAAATAGGAAATTACAGTTGTTTGGGTTGAGTCTTTTGATTTACCTTTCCAGGAGTTTTTCCACCGTGGGTCTCCCCTTTTCCACACTGGATAGAGTTTTTCATTCCAGTCATTTTCATCTGAAGACCAACCATTTAACTGGTTGTGCTCCCTCATATAACCAGAAGGTCTTTCATTACTCAGCACATCATGAAATCCTATATTAATATTTGAAAAACAAATTATTTCATCTACTCCATTCCTCATTTAGTACTTATGTAACAACGGTTAAAGCAATTTTTCATTTCATAAGGTTGGAAAGCACACATAATATTTCCAATATGTCAAGCAAAGAAAGGGTACTTAAAAAAAAAATCTAGTGGAAATATCTGGAATACAGGCATTCAGACCCTATCTCTTTAAGTACTTTAAATGAATCAAGGAAAATTTTTGAAAGTCAGTATTTCTTAGCCATCATTTGGTTTCTCAAAATATACACTCTGAATATTTGGATTTGATACAATATCATTAAGAAAACACTAATGCCACTGACCTTCAGATCAGTTTTTGCATCTTTTCCCCTTCTGAACTGTTCACCTGGCTAAAAAAACGCCAGGCTCAGGAGTGCCTCTAGGATTCCAAGAGATGCATATCAGTGCTGGAGAGACCACTGTTGAACAATCTAATTTTTGGGGGGAAGGGGGCGCAGAGTTCAGCATGTGGTCTGTCTTAGTGAATGTTCCATATGTACTTGTGTAGCCTACATTTGTTGGGTAGAGTGTTTTTTTCATGTCATTTAAGTCAAGCAGGTTGATAGTGTTTTGGAGACTTCTGTGTTCCTATTGATTTTCTGTCTGCTTATTTCAATCACTGAGAGAGGAATGTTAAAATTTTCAGCTATAATTATGGATTTGCCAATTTTCCAATTTCTTCTTTCAGTTGTCAGTTTTTGCTTTATGTATTTTGAAGCTCTGTTTAGAATTGCTAAGTCTTCTTGATGAACTGATCCTTTCTCAAAAGGAATTGACCCTCTTTATCTCTGGTAATATTCCTTGTTCTGAAGAATACTTTAATGTTAATGCTTAGTATTTAACTGATACATCTTTTTCCATCCTTTTACATTTAACCTATGTGCATTTTTATATTTTAAGTGGGTTTTATTTTCTTTTGACCTAGTCTGACAATCTCTACCTTTTATTTGGAGTGTTTAGATAATTTACATTTAGTGTAATTATCTATATTGTGGGATTTAAGTTTACCATCTTGTTTTCAACTTGTCCCATCTGTTCTTTATTCCTTTTTCTTTTCTTGTGCTCTTGGGGATTATTTTTGGATTTTATTTTATCCCTACTATTGGCTTATTAGCTATAGCTCTTTGTTTTGTTTTGAGTGGTTGCTCCAGGGTTTATGATATGCTAATTCTCTTAAAGTTTTTTCTAATCTTGAGTTGATGCCTTTTTGCCTCACCTGACAACTCCGGTGGTAACATTGTCTCTTTCTTTGAGGATTGTAGCAGACTGTTTGGTTGCCTGCCCAGCAGCCATTTCCTGCCTGCTCTCCTCCTCTTTTTATCCCCCACTTGTTGCAGAGCTTCTACTGTAACAGTTCAAAATCACAGATGCTCACTTCCCTAGTTTTCCTTACAGTTTGGGCAGGAGCAGATGATTAGATCCCGGCCAGTGGGAGCTGAGAGGAAGTCTGCTAGGGGCTTCTGGGAAAGGTTTTCCTCTTTCATTAAAAGAAACATGTGAGAACTAATTCCATTTTTTCCTCCTGAGAATTGATTTTGGAGATGGTAGTGTAATGATATGATGACAGTCATATTTAACCACGTGGGCACAAATCTGAGGAAGCAAGCCAACACATCAAGGGCATCAGGATGGAAGGATGGAAAGAGTCCTTGATGATGTTGCTGAGCTGTTGCTCTAGCCCTGCCCACCCCTTGATGGATTCAGTGAGATAATAAGGGTCTTATCCAACTTATCTGAGTATTCTATTACTCACAGCCAAATGCTCAACTGTATATAACCCTCAGCCAGCCCCTAATCATAGACTATCATAAACTGTTCTCTCATCAATTCATGTGGTCTTATGTCTTGGCCTGGCCATTGAATCTTAGAGCCAGAAACACTGTCTTCTCTTAAATCCTGGAAGAGCACCTCCATGAGGTGTGGTATTTAGTAGGTGCTCAGAGAAACCATATTGAACAGATGCCACTAACCTCTGTCTTCCATTCCTCCATGCTGCTAGAAGGCAGCAGCATGTTATTCCTTTCTTATAAGGGAGGCAAATGGAAATGGAAGAACATTGAACTGAGAGTCACAGAACTTGGTTTCTAGTCTTAGTTCTGCTACTAAAAAGGCTGTGTGACCTCAGATCATGTGACTTCTCTTGGCCTTCAAATCAGACAAAAACCAAATGTCTTGTGATTCTGTGAGATTGTTCCTATTTGGAAACAGATACTAAGTGAGGGCAGGAAATGCATGTTTATCAATAAATGTTTATAACTGAAAATTCACTCAAAATGAGTCACAGAGTGGTAGAATGTTCAATCTGGAAAGAACTAAAATTAGTTAGTTCAAATCCTTCATTTATAGATAAGGAAATTTAGGCCTAGAGAAGTGATATCGTTCACTCAGAGTCATCTTCCATCGAGTAGAAATGAAGATTCACATCTTTTGATTCCTAGGACCAGTTTTTTCCTTTGTTCCAAAGAGTCTTCCTCTTCCTCAGATCCTCAGTGAAAGTCAGTGTTTCCAGAAATATAATAAAAACAGAGATTTCTCCTCTGATTTTAAATGTCAGAAGTCAAAGAAAAATACAAACTTAAAAGGAGAGTGACAATGAATAGACACATAGGTCCAAAGTATAGACTAGAGAATCCAGAAATCGGCTCACACAAATATGCCTTATTGATTTTTGACAAAGATGCAAAAACAATCCAATGGAGGAAAGATAGCTTTTTCAACCAATGGTGCTGTAAGAAAGTAAAAAGCACAGGAGAAATCTTCAGGCTCTAGGTAGGAAGGAATTCTTAGACTTGACACCAGAAACAGGATCTATAATAGGAAAAATTGATAAATTCAACCTCATTAAAGTTAAAAACTTTTGCTCTATGAAATACCATGTGAAGAGGATGAAAAGGCAAATTATAGACTGGGAGAAAATATTTGCAAACTGCATTTCCAACAAAGGACTAATATCTACAACATATAAAGGATTTTCAAAACTCAATATTAAAAAACAATCCAATTAAAAAATAGGTAAAAGACCTAAACAGACATTTCACTGAAGAAGATATACAGATGGTAAATAAACACATGAAAAGATGTACAATATCATTGGCCAGTAGGGAAATGCACATTAAAACCACAATGAGAATGACAAAAATAAAAAATAGTGACACATTAGGTGTAGAGGAGGATGTAGAGAAACTGGATCACTCATACATTGCTGGTGGGAATGTAGAATAGTACAGCCACTTTGGAAAACAGCTTGGCAACTTCTTGTAAAACTAAACACACAATTAGAATGCAACCAAGCAACTGTATTCTTGGGCATTTGTCATGGAGAAATGGAAATGTATGTTCACATAAAAACCTGTACATGAATGTTCATAGCTGCTTTATTCATAATAGCCCAAATTGGAACAACCCAGATATCTTTCAATGAGTGAATGGTTAAACCAACTGTGGTCCATCCATACTATGGAATACTACTCATTGATAAAAAAGAACCAACTATTGATACATGCAATAACTTCAGTAAATTATGTTGAGTAAAAAAAGTCAGTCCCCAAAGATTACACACTGTATGATTCCATTTATATAACATTCTCGAAGTAACAAAAGTATAAAAATGGAGAACGGATTAGTGGTTGCCAGGGACTGGGGGTGGGGTGGGGTAGGAAGGGGAAGAGAGTTTGGCTAAAAAGGGCATGAGGGATCCTCGTGGTGATGGAACTATTCTATATTTTGACTGTATCAATGTCAATATCCTGGTTGTGATATTGTGAAATACTTGTGCAGGATGTTACCATTGGGAGAAACTGGTAAAGGGTACAGGGAATCTCTTTGTATTATTTCTTATAGCTGGGTGTGAATCTACGATTACCTCAAAATTAAAAAATGAATTAAAAAAATAGAATAAAACAAACCCAATAGTAAGCATACTTTAAAAAGAAAAAAGAGGTGTGTGTGTGGTGGGGGGATAGATGTAAAGGTAATTGGAGTCACACTCAGTACAGCTGTGTGGCTCTTTGCTCCACACTTTGAACTCCCTGCTCTGTTCACCAGAGAGGTGCCCGCTGGGCCGCTTGTTAACTTGGTCAACACCTTCTCCTTCCTCCTTTTTACTAGGGCTATGACTGGAAAGTGGCAAGGAATCTCTTGGTGTTTCATACCCTGCTAAATCCTACCCATCCCTATTTTTTCTGGCCAGAATATTTAGTCTAAGGCAAGGTGAAGTCAAAAACGTCCAGGTTTTGTTACATTGCCTAATAGGTTGGGACTCGCTCTCAAACTGACGGCCGAGAATCAGCCTCAGGCTAATCTGTCTTCTTGAGCAGAGCAAAGAGGAGCTGATGGAAAGAAGGCAAGAATTAGGCGCAGGGGCCTCCCTGGCAGTTCTCTGTTCTCCGTCTCCCCAGCCTGCAGACTCTCGGGCAGTCTGTCCAGGGAGGTACACTGGGGTAAGACAATTGCTAGCATGTACGTCTCCCACTTCAGCACATTTTGTTAGCTGATTTCACAAGAACCCTATTACCTAGTTTTGCAAGAAAAGGAAACGAAATCCCCGCCCGCGGCTGGCAGGGAACCCAAGTCTGTCCAACCGCAGGAAGGACAGCGGTGGCCGTAGAAGCCGCCTTCTTCCTCTTACCCACTGCGTGGCCTACGCCGAGTTACTTGCTCTCTCTGTGGCCGGTTTCCTTGTTTGGGAAACGGGACCATAACAGTGCCAGCCTCCCGGGCTGTTCCGGGGCCGCGTGCAGCACAGCAGCCCCAGCCCGCGCCAAACACCGGGTCGGCGGGGCCTTTGGAGGGCGCGGGCGCGCCGCAGTCCCCGCGTCTGGACTCCTTTGTCAACCATCAAAGACGCGGGCCTTTTCCTGGTCCCAGTCACCGGACATCGGGGGCGGGAGTGTCCCGGGGCTGGGGGCGCCGCCCAAGCCTCCGGCCTCAGCGGCTCGCAGCAGAACTGGCCGAGCCCCCCGCTGCTTCCCTCCCCTCCCCGCAATGCCTCCCGCACCACCACCCCTTGTTCGCCCACCTCACGCCTTGCACCACCATCCAGGGCGCCCAGCGCCCCCTTCTCACACCCCACCCCTGCCGGGGCCTGTCCAGCCCCCAGGAAACCGGCCCTCGCGCTCCGGGGCTACCAGCGGCTCCCTCCTCTTCCTCTCTCCGCCCAGCAGCCGGCGGGGATCCTGCTCTGCAGGGCAATCTAATTGTAGGACGTTTCTCTCCTGCAAGGAGGAGTGAAATGCCGGTCTGCACAGGCGCCCCAGGCCCTGTGTCCAGGATCCTTCTCTCTCAGAACTGGGCCGAGCAGGTGAAAAGCAAGACCGGGGCGCTCATCTGTTGCATGGGGGGACCATCTGCTCCACAAAGGTGTTTGTGGGAATTACCTGAGTAATGTAAGCAAAGCGGCCAGCATAGAGATCACACACGGTGGGCACGAGGTTGATGCTGGTCCCTTCTCCCACCTACCTCCCGGTATGGAGTTATCCTGCCGAATCGGACCCCTGGACTTTTCATCCAGTTAACATCATGACTCTATTGGAGTGAGTGGAGTCGACCTTCTGGGTGATGTATAATTCACTTTTTTCTCCCACACCATGCTAACTCTGCCTAGAGGATGGGGGCCACCACGGCCACCCATCCCTTGGACTGGACAAGTGGGCTGCACAGGAGTTCAGTGGTTGCCAACCATGACTTTGCATTCCACTCACAAGAGCAGCTTTTTAAACAAGGATGCTCAGACCCCACCTCCAAAGATTCTGATTTCACTGATCTGGGCATCAGCTTCGTTAAAAAGTCCCCAACCTCTAATGTGTAACTAGAATAGAGACCCAGGGCTTCAACTCTTCTCTCAGTAATCTTACTATAGCTGCAGCAAGCTCCTGCAGGTCTGTGAAGAAATATCAGCAGGATTACCAACAGCTTCTGGGTTGTGATTATTAGAGAGCTTGTCTCCAGATTTTGAGCCCATTTCTTCTGAGGTCTCTACCCCATTGGGTAGAAACCAGACAAAGTTTAGTGGGTAGCATTGCTTTGCTCTCAGGCCAGAGACTGTTCCCCGCACACCTCCATCCTCCCACTGTCTGGCAAGAGAGTAGGTGGCGATTGTGATGGAAAAAATCTCCATAAGAGAGGGGCTTGCATAGTTATTACTTTCCAAGAGCCTAAAGCATTTTGCTGTAGTTTCAACATTCCCAACCATTTCCAGAAGAAGCGCGAGAGCATGAAATCTTCCTGAGGAGCTTCATGAAGTCCAGCTTCTGCCTCAGACATTGCTTCAGACAACCCATCACCTCAGCCAATAGCCAGAGAATGGGTTAAACACAGAAATTGAGAATTACTCACGTTTGGCGGCATCAAGTGGCAATCTTGCAGCCAGAAGCAGAAATCCCAGGAAACAGTAGATACATTCCATGCTGAATTCTCACAGACCCAGGCAATCAAGGTTTAACTTGTAACTCCTCTGGCTCCCTCCACTGAGAACAACAGTGCGCTTCTGGCCTCTACTGCGCCCTACTCCTTATTTTAATAAATACTGGGCCTCGGGGCAGATCATGTGATGGTATTAAGCAGCATTGCCTGATCTGCTCTCTTGAGTTCAACCTCTTACAACTCATGTGCTTCTGACTCACTCACTCTTAGCATCTATTTATTCACTTTTCAGATGCACACCATTTCAATGTTGTAATTCCACATTTCTAGTTAAAGGGATTTCCTTTCCTATGGACCCTATTTTAATATCCTTCACCAAATAAATTTTCAATCTCCAACCTCATTGATTATCAACTTGCTGCAGTTCCTTTACTGATTCACTCACACAGCTCGTCTTGAGATGTCACAGTTACGCTTCTTTTGCTATAATTTAGATGACGAGCTTCTCAAGTGCTAGCTGATCCTGTACATTCCCTTCTCCCAAGAGGAGACAAAGATGGGGGGGGGGTGTCTCTTCAATCACTTGAGATTGTGGATTGCATATATGGATAACAACATATGTTGTGCCAGAAGGTGCTTGAAACAGCTGCACAGGCTTCTGGTAATTGAGAAATTTACTTAAAAGCACATTTAGGATATCTGTGCAATTCCGTATAACTTTTGGAACAACCTGCATAATTTTTGGTAACTGCTCTCAAAGCATTTATGTGTTGTATCACTCGGGGTCAATTGCATAAAACATACTGCATATTTATTTCATGTTACAGAACGCGGGCATTAAGTGTAAAAACAAGCTTGCCTGGAACATAAGTTTTATACAATCAAATCATTTCTGGTTATAGAACGTGCAGAAAATGTGGCAACATGAACACTTTCCTGCATGTGGTCTTTCTCTAAGTCACATCCACACGACCATTTTCAGTACATGTAGAAGTCCTGGTTGGGGGTGAGGGTAAAATTTGGGGTATTGATTTATGTTTCAGTTGTGCTAGCGAGGAATAGAAATAAATAGTCTGTGAAACTAAAACCCATGGAGCAGGAAAGGCCAACTCCCTACCCGAAGGCCACACACAGCTCTTGAGAGCTCCTTTTACAGCCTTTGAAGCAAATAGGAAGGAAAAACAGCAAAGGGAACATCAGTCAGGATCGAAACAAAACTGTTTTCAAATATAGATGAATGAACGAATAATGGAAATGTTTATTAGTTTTATGTAATGTGAATAACCTATATAGTTCTGTTTGCTTTTTACAACAAATGTGTAACTTTTATAATTAAAAAAGAGCTTTTCAGTTTAGGGAAAACTTACTATTGATGTATTTTTAAGGATTACTGCCCTTTGTTTCTGACAGTTCGTTCGGGCTTATATTTTTGGCCAGATCAGCTACCTCTGTTTCTAAATAAATTGGAAGTGTCAAACTCTTCTGTAACAAGACCTTAATTAATAGGGAGACAGACACAGTGATCAAATCTTCTTTTATGTCTTCTCTCTTTCTCTGCCCCATCAAGGGGAGATGGTAATGACAAGGGCAGCAGGCAAAAAGGTAGGCAGCTGGACGGAGGTGAAGAAGAAACCAGAAGTTCTTAATTCCGAAGCATGACAAATTGGATAATCTGCCGTGATAATCAACAGTTGACAACATATAAAGTAGTTTACTTTGTAGGACTCAGATACAGGGCTATTTTGGATAAAGAATATCCTCAAGGTTTTTTTTTTTTTTTTTTTGAAAAATCAAATCATACTGTGGATTAAGTTTGAAATAGTTCATTGAAAGAAGGGAAATATCTCAATTACTTGGAATTATCGACATGATTATTCTGTTTGGAAACGATGTTGAGAAAAGTAATGGTCAACTTTCGAGAAGGTCCTAAGTTGCCTCTAAGTGTCTGGTTTCTGACCCCTCGTGGTGGCCACAGTCCCAACGTGAGGAGCAGCACCTGAGATGTACTGATTGCACCAGCCACCCAAATGGGGACACGTGAAGTGGCAGGTGGTGGCCACACCCAGGAGTCATGGCAGGCAGCAGGGGAGTTAACATTTTTAATTTTAGGAATATCTCAGTTCAAACTGGTGTCTTTAAGCAAGATAATAAAAATTAAGGTCCTTTTTTCCCCAACTTTTGTAAACAACACAAATCTATTATCTTACATTCTAGAAGTCAGAAGTCTGAAATGGGTCTTCACTCAACCAAAATCAAAGTGTCAGCAGGGAAGCTCTAGTGAAGAATGTTTCCTTGCCTTTTCCAGCTTCTAGAGGCGTTCCACACTTTCTGGCTCGTGGCCCCCTTCCATCTTCAAAGCTAAGCAATGGCCAGAGGAGTCTTTCTTATGCTGGGTCATGCTGACACTGCTTCTTCTTCCTCCCTCTCAATTATAGGAACTCTTGTGATTACGTTGGGCTCACCTGGATAATCCAAATTAATTTCCTTGTCTTCAAGTCAGTTGATTAGCAACCTTAATTCCATCTGCAACCTTAATTACCTCTTGCCATATAACATATTCACAGGTTCCGGGGATTAGGATGTGGACGTCTTTGGGGGGGTCATTATTCTGCCTATCACAGTTACATAGCAGGTGACTTAGCAAAAAATCCTCTTTATGAAGAACAGGGTGTGATGAGAGCAGTGGTGGGAAGGACCTCCCAGAGGTTACAGACTTGTTGAAACAAAGTCTTTGATATTTGGCAGAGCAGAAAGGCAAGAACAAACGAAAGATAAAAGAATCAGTTCAAAGAGAGAGAAAGCCCATGTGACTGCCTTGTCCTAATGTGAGCTTTTTAACATGTTATAATCAGAGTCACAGTTTTCGGATTTAGGCATTAACAAATGACTTGGCGACTTCTGTTTTGTGTCTAGTTCTTTGGTCTCTCCTGTCTGTGCACTGTCAGCATGAATAAATAATTAAACTTCCTTGTTTCCAGGTTTACTTAGTTTTGAAATTATTCTTCCACGAACATATTTTTCCTGTTTTTCAGGGAAACAGAAGAAAATGAATCCTAAAGAGCATCCTTTTCGGGTCACTTCTGCAATCACAAATAGGCAACTGCTGTTGTATTTTTTTTTTTTTTTTTTGAGGAAGATCAGCCCTGAGCTAACATCCGTGCTAATCCTCCTCTTTTTGCTGAGGAAGACCGGCTCTGAGCTAACATCTATTGCCAATCCGCCTCCTTTTTGTTCCCCAAAGCCCCAGTAGATAGTTGTATGTCATAGTTGCACATCCTTCTAGTTGCTGTATGTGGGCCATGGCCTCAGCATGGCGGGAGAAGCGGTGCGTCGGTGCACACCTGGGATCTGAACCGGGGTCACCAGTAGCGGAGCGTGTGCACTTAACTGCTAAGCCATGGGGCCGGCCCTGCTGTTGTATTTTTAGCCTAATTTTCCAGCTGGAGGAATTGGACACTAGATGTGGGCAAAGGGATTTGCTTCTTGGAATGCTGGCTTGCAAACATTTTTTGACATGACTCTTCTGATGGAGTCACTGGCCCTGTTTAAGATTAGAAAGAGCAGTACGTGTAGAAAAATGTGGATTATCACACTAAGTCCTAGATTTGTTTTTAAAGTACTTTCTCTGAATTATTAGTGGAGAAGGAGAGTAAGACATGAAAGTTTATCACATGGATGAAGAAACAATGATGAATATGTTCCTTTCTTTTCTACCTTTGGTACCCATAGAACAGTGGACAGAGAAGGGAGAAATAGAATGGGATCTATGGAGAGAGAAAGAAGGGAGGGGCCAAAATAGAAATCTAAATGGAAACTTGGCTTCCAGTTTTATGATAACTATGGATTACCCAGAAATGTCTCAGAGCACTGGAGCAAGCACATCGCATTCACTCATTGGAGAGCAATTGTAAGCCCAAGAAAGAAGCTACAGCAGAAATCAAAAGAAATTTTGACTGTAGAAGAAAGGCCAGAAACTGAAGATAAAATAGCATCTTGGATCTTTATTTTCACACCTAAACTCAGCTTTTTCTCAATGAAATTTTTAAACACCTCAGGTAGAATTTAATTCAGCAAGCACCAGTGGAGGTCTACTTTTCTATGGTAGCCATCAACTACCAAGACATAAATGACAATCTCTGACCTCAAAGGAGCATAGGGGATGTCTTATTGGGAAAATAAGACATTAACCCAGAGAATGGGTAATACTATGAGACACTATTTGAATTTTTTTATTCTAGAAACTTTCCAACATACACAAAAATAGAGAGAATAACGTAATCCACTTCTGTGTACCCATCACTTGCTTCAATGATCATCAGAATATATAGCCAGTCTTGTTTCATCTACCCCCCTCTCCACACCGATATCTACAGGATTATTTTAAAACCAATAATAAACATCACTGGCGTGTGATATTTAAACTAAGTCATGCAGATAGAGCTAAAGGAGTTCAAAGAAGATGGAAGATGAAAAGAAGTCTTTATGGAGAAAGTATGACTTGACTTAGTTCTTGAATGATGAGTTAAATTGGATAAGCACAGAGGAGGCATGGGGAGAGCCCATTCCAGGTAGGAGGGAACAGTATGAATAGAAGAAGGAACATTTTAAAAAATAAAAAGAGGTACATATATGCAATGGAATACTACTCAACCATAAAAAAGACAAAATCTTGCCGTTTGTGACAACATGGATAGACCTTGAGGGTATTATGTCAAGCGAAGTAAGTCAGACAGATAAAAAAAATTACCATGTGATTTCACTCATATGTGGAAGATAAACAAACAAACAAATACATAGATACGGAGAACAGATTGGTGGTTACCAGAGGGGAAGGAGGTTGGGGAGGGTGAAAGGGGTAAAGGGGCACACGTGTATGGTGACAGATGGCAACTAGACTTTTGGTGGTGAACATGATGCAGTCTATACAGAAGGTGAAATATAATGATGTATACCTGAAATTTATAAAATGTTATAAACCAACGTGACTGCAATAAAAAAAATTTTAAAAAGGAAATTTAGCCTTTAAAAAATAATAATAAAATAAAAGGAATGAAGTATTGATACATGCCATGATGTGGATGAATCTCAAAAACATTATGCTAAGTGAAAGAAACCAGATACAGAAGGTCAAACATTATATGATTCCATTTACACGAAGTGTCCAGAATAGGC